CCCATGATCACCATTTAAAAAAATGTATAACCTATATCCATTTTTATAACTTATCACTGTTAGGCTCTCTATGACTTACTCTTGTTTGTTCCCTGCCTCTCAGCACTAGAATGTCAGCTCTGTGGAGCGGGGGTCCTGTTTCATTCACTGCCATATCCCTGTGCTCAGAACAGGGCCCAATGCAGAGCAGGTGCTAAGTCAGTGCTGGATGAATGAATGGATTTCAAGGACGTAGTTCCTGGCCGGGTTGGACTCTCATTCTTCTTAGGTTTTAAAGAGATTCCTTCTTCCCTAACTTATTCAATTCCCTTTGTTGGTGCCATTCATAAGATTCATAATCTGATTTTTAATACCCTTTCCTCATTTAATTACTGTTATAATGTTGCAGTTAGCAAAGGAAAGAAACGTTTTATGGAATAAAATGCTCAAATGTTGAAGCCACCTGCAGCAGGTGCTGGGCATGTAACTGTCTGGCCTGCACCCTGCCCAGTTCCAGGCCCACGGCCTCACGGGGGGAGGGTCTCCAGCGGGCACCTGCCTGTGGGAGTGAGTGAGTAAGGAGCTCTGTTTAGAACGGACTTCTCTTCTTCACTGCACCACCCTTCAGGCAGAGTGGGGGGCTAGATTTAGAATCCAATACAGTGCTTCTATTTTTGTTTCCAAACAGATAAGAAGGTCAAAGTTTTATGGCAGAAAATGTCATTTTTAAGGTATAGAAATATCTCCATTTGCATCTACCTCTCTGATTTTTATAAATTATTTAATCCCTTGAAACCAGCTTCTTCATCCATAAAATGGGAATCATAATTTCCCACCTTTCAGACTCATTGCAAAGATTAAATCAGTGTGCATATGAATTAACTCACTGAAGTTGCTCAGCAAATTATGGATTCAGTTCTATCCTGTACATCATTCAGAAGCATCCATTCCTAGGTCTCCTACCAAAATTGCACACAGCACTTCCCTCTTTATAAAGTGGGTTAGGAAGCTTGCGTGCACTGGGAGCTGAATCGGTTAACATGGTTGGCGTACAATGATGTCTGGGACAAATGCTACTCCCCCTCCCCTACAGGCCTCTATGCTGATTCCTTCATCACAGTCAGGCCCGAGCACTGCCTTTTCCAGGGATGGCGCTGAGCCAGGCAGCCTGGCAGCCCCAGCCCTTGGCCAGCCAGCTCAGGCCTTAGGTCACCTTCCCCTCCCTGAATCTTGGTTCCAAGGCCACAGAGGGATGCTATGGCAGTGCCACATTGCAGGCTTGCTATGAGATCATGCAGAGGCACCAGCAACTTAAACTGAAGCAGCATCAGGACCAGCGGGAGGGCCTGTTCAAATGCGGGTTCCTGGACCCACCCCAGAGGCTCTGATGGAACAGACCTGTGGTGGGGCCAGGCAGGTGCATGTCTAACTGTGTGAGGGATGCCGATGCTGTTGGCCAGGCCACACCCCCAGGAGCATGTGCAAAGTATTTAACATAGGACCAACAGTGGATCAACATGTTCCCCATGATACAAGCACTTTCATTGCTTCCATTACACCTTTCTCAATGATAAAGTCTGTTGGAGAAAAGACCCTAAGTCATCTTTTCCTAGGAGTCTCTTCATCCAGGGCCCCACACATGGACCGACAGTTTAGATTTGCAGGACAGTGTGCTCAGCACCAGCTGCTTTCCCTGGTACCTGTGGGGACTTCTTCTCTAACTTCACTTCCTGAACCCCTGGTGAGCTCCATCCCTTAGGTAATTTTAACAGCACTTTAGGGATGAAGAAACCGAGGCGAGAAGTCGCCTACCGATCTGGGCCCAGGTGAAATAGGACCGAACAAACACCACCCTGGGCTTTGTGAGTCCAGGGAGCCTGTGGATTTGTCTCAGCACTGCCTCCTGTCATCCAACCACTGAGATGCTGGGTTGGCTTTTCTAAAATGGCCCTGCATGTTCCCTCGACCTCACCGAGTGGTTATTTAACAAAGTGCAAATGCCATCTAACTGTCAGTGAGACAGTGAACTAGGATCTGTGATAAATGAAGAAAAACAGCCGTCACACCGGTGTCAAAGATTTCCGTAAACAGCAAAGATTTTCTGTAAACAGCATTGGGACTTGGGGAACTTTGGCTTCATCAATATTCCGTTTGCTCTATTCTGACGTCACCAATCCAGCCCCCAGCACCTCTGGGCAGCAGAAGGCAGTGGTGGCAATTGCAAAGGATCCTGTAGAGATGGCTCTGGGTGCTCCTCTCCCCGACGCCCTCCTCTCTCCAGAACTCCCAGACGCCTTGCTGGAGAAAGCGCTGATTAATGTGGTGTCAGGACGCTCAGAATGGCTGTTCATTGCAGGTGCACACTCTCCCTGGAGCAGCTGCGCGCTCCCCTCGAATGCCCATGGAAGATCGTGTGCCTGCAGGCAGGCTGGAGAAATACAAACAGCACGCCCACAGCCTAAAGCCTGTGTGTTGGGGAAGGTTGGGGGGGAGTGGTGAGTCGCCCCTGGTCTGTAGCTGAACCCAGAACCACGCAGTGTGGACGGTGATGGAGAGCACTGCAGGGGCCTGGTCAGCCTGGCCATTCCCAGGTGGACACATCTGGATACAGACCCTGTAGAGGGCACTTACCTCCAGAGACTTCTTCTCCGCTTTGGTCCCACTAAAGGGAAATCCATCCTCAGAGCACAATGGAAAGGAGTGAAAGCCTGGGACCTTTTCTTATCCCCACAGTGAAAGCAAGCCCTCGACTCCCAGACCCTCGCCTTCCCCTCGGAGAAATGTGATCAGAGGCCTCCACGGAAATGGCATTTCACGCTCACTGTTGAACAAATAATCGGAATCCTCTTTATCAACAAAGGTATAAAATGTCATGACTGGTCAGACCCAAGTCAAAGAGGTTTCTACAATGTGAAGAATAAAATTACTTTCTGAGAAAGAGACTCTATACGCTCACCTCTGGAGTTATGGTCTTGGTACTAGAAGTGCCCTCTTTTAGACAAAGACCTTACAACCTGCCCTGCTCCGAAGACAGGGCTTCACCGAGACAGGGGGAGAAGCCAAAACAAGGGACAGCCTCACAGGCAACCTTTCCTGTGCCCTCCCCATTACCCAGGGCGCCCTCGCCCTAGGTGCTTCCAGATGCGTTTATACATGTCCATTTCTGTCTCCTGGAACAGGTAACAACTGTCCTAGTAGAATCCAAGGTAAGAAGTCAATCCTCCGCTAAAAATGGGCAATCAGGGCTCTGTTGTGGACAGCACCTCCTGCTGGGGGCTAGGTCGAGGCTTTCCCCAAGAGGCTGGGAGTGACCTGCTCTGTTTAACCTTACACATGTTAGGACTGGGTTGCAGGAGAGACTCAGTTCATCGGAAAAGCTAGAAGTCCCTCAATGTGTGAGAAGCCATTTATTTCTCCTGGCTCCATCCTGACCTTCCCTATGGTAGTGAAGCTGCTCTTGTCTCTGCAGCTCCGTAACCCAGGATAGACGTGTGTACACAGACGTGGGTAAGCTCTCCTCCTCTGGGGTCTTCTTCCAGCAGGTTCTGCACATGAAGCATGTCTGTCCATAGCCTTTCTCCAGGTCCCAGACTGCGTCCTGGTCCTCAGCATACACAGGACCTATATTTCCCCCTCTCAAGCCTGGCAGTCTTGCTTTGCAGCCAATGCATGTGCCTCCAAAGAAGTGGGGCCTATGGCATCCTTGGACACACTCACACAAGCGATGTTCAGGTCGACCCTCCAGGCAATCGATGGACATAGATCAACTGCTCAGCCCCACCTCAGCCGTGCAGGACTTTCCCATCATTCTCGCTACCCATTACCCTCTGAAACCAGGACCACAGGGTAGCCCAGAGCAGGGCCCCCCACCTTGTCCCTCAGCTCCTTCGCCCCTGCCCTGAAGGGCCTCCGAGTGCCCCTGCTAAGAGGTGCGTGCCCTCAGGAGTACCACCACCTGTCAGCTCACCGCTCTCCCCTGAGTGGTGTCAGGAAAGCGGGGGGCCAGGGGTAAAATAAAGAGCATAATGGGATTCCTGTCACAAGCCAAACAAAAGCCAAATCAACACTGAAACCAGCAAGAAGCAGTGAGAGGCCGCTGCGGGGCTTGGCCAAGGAATGGGTTTTTAAGCCAAGAGAAATAAATATTTCAAACAAAAGATCTGTCAGAGTCAGTGTTTGCTGCCTCAGTCCCAGAACCTCACAGCTGGAGAGGGAAGCCCAGGGCTGAGGGGCGTCCCAGGAGCCAGGAGTGCAGTGCCATGCTCTCCCCGGCCAGCTCTGCAGCTGCCTTCCTCTCTGCTGGGCTGGGATGGTGTTGCTGGAACCTTGTGCTTCAATGGGCAAATATAAATGTCTTCCTTAGATTAATAAAAAAAATGGGAAGGTAGGTTATTTTGGAAAGAATGCTTTTCCTTTGCTGGAGAAAATCTTCCAAAGCCTGGGTTCCATGAAGGCATAGCAAGGAGGATGCTCGGCCGTGAAAGAAGGTGAGACACCGAACCCTTCGGAAGCCCTCACACTGGCCACCCACCAAGATACACCATTTTCTCTGGCAGAACATTGACTGGGGGTGAGTACACACAGGCTGCGGTGCAACAAGAACCTATTTTATCGAATGGCCCTTTGACAAAGAAAGCACACCCCCTTTGAGTTCATTATCAGTTGGTTAGATGTCCTCACCTTGGGCACAGTGCTCTCTGGCACTGGTCAATGCCACTGCTGAAGCCCAAGTGCCCATGTGAAGGACAAACTACCCAACTTATCTGCTTTCCCCAGCAGACACTGTTTCTGGTATTCAGCCCTTTCCGGAGACTGCCTACCTTACCTTGGGGAGCCATGGGGGCAGTCCCAGGACAACTCCTGAGGTGAGGTGGCCCTGACCCCTGAGCTCCCTATGGCACCCCGACTTACCCAGGCATGTTCTCCAGCCATAAAGCAAAGAGTCTTCTGGTGGCATGAGTAGAATGTCTTTGCTGACTCTCCTCCTTACTGCTGGGTGTGCTGGGTGTGTGTGGCCTTACCTCGTGGGACAGGTAGAAGGCTGCAATGCCCAAAGGCCAGAAGCAGCAGAGCATGGAGAAGACGCTGAGACCCAGGTGGTCCCGGGGAGGCATCATGAGAAAGTTGTCCTCGCTCTCTGTGTCACTGGAGTAGTTGCTCTGCAAGAGAGAAAGGGAGGATGAAGTAGGAGAAGAGGGTTAAGAAAGAAACCACTCTGTGATGCCCTCTGAACCTGGCCCCAGAGAAGGTCACTTGTTATTGCCTGCAAGCACTTCCCCTCAAAAGGAAGTGCCTAACTGAGGGAACTCTAAACAAGAACAAAAAGAGAAGAATTCCAGGCACAAGGTTTTGGGTCATTCCATAGATGACAAAACCCTACTCACAGATTTTTGGGACGAGGGCTGGGCAGTGGGTGTAAAGATCTACTTTATGGAAGATAGAACTGGATATTCTCAGAAGGACACATTCTGTGGATTCCACTCTTTATTCTGACACAGGGGGATATTTATTTACTTATTTATTTGTTATTTATTTTATTTATTCACTAGTGGCCTGGTGCACAAAATTCATGCACATTAAAAGGGAATTCATTAGAGGAAATATTTTAATATTGCTATTTGCCCTTTATCCGTAATAGAAGTGTCTAGCCAGCCCCACCCCTGTCAAGCCTGGCTGGGTGGGGGACACAGCGTTAGAGTGGGGGGTGGCAGGTGGCTAGCCCGATCCATGCAGCCTCACACAGACCTGCCACACTGTGAGACCCCAGATCTGCAGCTCTGTGGGACCCATTAATGCACCTCCTGGTGCCTGGCCGTTTGGTCATTACAGATAAAAATAAAGTCATGCGTTTCAGCATGCACATTCATTTTCAATGCCTGATTTGTCTACATTCTCTAAATTGCAAAATAAATAAGATCTTCAGCCAGATAGCATCACAATGTCAAGTTCTTTATGTAATGACACATACCATTCTCTCCACTCAGTATGCTCCATTTGAATGGATTAAATGTATGTGACTCATATCAAAGGCACTGCTGCTTGCTCTTAATACAGGAAGTATTAACTCATTACCTAACGCCATAAAGTGGTTTAAATGGCATATACTGACTTGAAGAACAGAAGGAAAATAACAACAAAAATCAAAACAAAAAGCAAGGTTCCGTGCTGTGGGATGGCAGAATCCTCTCTCTCCCTCCCCTTTTTTCTTTTCTGCTTTTCCCATGAACCTATTTGCACTCTGCTTAAAAATCAACACAGAAGACAAAATCAGATGAATCTGCATTTTATAGTGCCATTTGCATACAAAGAGGTGCTTTTCAATCTTCACTTTTTTTTTTTTTTTTTTTAATTAATGCAGCTCAAATTTGCTCCCAATGTTCCAGGAGCTAGGCCAACATGGCTGTGCGGACACCGCTTTGCTAGGTGCTGTCAGGCTTCAGGGCTGGGGCAGGGAACACGCTAGGTGTTGCTGGAAACATAGCAGGAGTCTTTTTATTATAAAATGCAAGGCAGCAGCCATTTTCCATTACCCCCATCCCCATCCTCCACCCCCCGGGAGGCATAGGAAGGGGCTGGGAGGATATTTACTCTCGGCTCTTTGATTTCTCTTATTTAACTGAGCCCAGTGACAGCTGCTTCTCTGAGCGTAGCGCCCGCCAACTCAGGGCTAGCACCACCTGAAAGGCAAGCGGCAGAGCTGACCAGGGGCTTTGACCAAACCTGAGTGTGTGGGTCACAGAAACCTGGGCAGGCGGGCTGCTCCTGAAGACTCTATGGAGTCCCTCCCAGCTCCGCACCCCAGATCCCTGCTCTCCCCCTTTCACCCACAGGCCCTACTGGTATGGTGTGCCCCAAGGCTTGGTGTGCAGACACCAGGGTTGCAAGTTCAAGATACTCCACCTCCTCCTGGCACTTTGAGCCATAAGCATTGGCAGGGATCTTACCACTCTGTCTTGGTCTTTGGTCACTGCTTGAGGTTTTCTGGACTCTCTAGGCCAGGGACAGCCAGGACCTTTGCCTGTGACCAATGCCATGCCTGCAGCCTGCCTGGGGTACCCCCAGCCCTGGGAAAGTGTGGGGGTGTGGCCAGCCTGAGTGAGGGGCTGGGGGGTGGGAGGTTGGCTAACCATCCCACCCTCAATTGGGATGGGAGAGGCTGATCAGGGGTGGGGCCGAGGGAGGGACTGAGTGGAACAGCCATCTTGTGATGGCATTATGGTGTGAGGGTCAATTTGCATATCACCTCTTTATTATATAGGATTTTTTTCTTTTAAAAGACTAGCTTATTGATTTTTTGAGAGAGAGAGAGAGAGAGAGAGAGAGAGAGAGAGAGAGAGAGAAACATCGATATGAGAGTGCAATATGGATGGCTGCCTCCTACATACCCCCTAGTGGGGATCGAGCCTGCAACCTGGGCATGTGCTCTGACTTGGAATCAAACCAGCAACCTCCTGGTGCAGGGACTATGCCCAACCAACAGAGCCACACCGGCCTGGGCTGGACAGAGGGATTTTTAAAAAGCAGCTTCGACAATTCCAACTCTGATCAAACCTCCCTGCACAGGGCACACTGGAGTGGAGCTCAAGGACACAAAAAGACAGTTGTGTTGTGGCAGGATGGTAAGTAACCAGGGAAATCCCTGGGCACGTGGAATGGGGAAACTGAGACAAGAAAATTAAACAAGGCCAAGCAGTGTGGGTAGCTTGCAGCCAGCTTGTGAATCACAAGACCTTACCTTCCCCAACCAAGGACACTTGAGAGTAATGACTTATTCCTCTCCTCCCTAACCAGCGAATACAGAACTCCATCACCCTGGCCTGGGAAAATAGCGAGCAAAGACCCAATTAATGCCATTTGTGCCAGCTGAACCCTAGGACAGACGAAGCTGGGGAACAAATAACAAAAACCTCATTAAAGCCAGGCGGACCTAAGGTAAAAGTACAACAGTAAAACAGACCAAAGAATAATTCAAAATTCCCCCAATATACTCATTCTGATACATCAGCATATTAAAAATGCGCCTGGAAAGCTGGTGAATATTCTGCTGAAACCCTCCCCTAAGATTCTCACCTGTGGGGGAAAAAGTGGGGAAAGCGGGGATAAAAAGCCTTCAGGACAAAGAATCGGTGTGGCGCCTATGCCCCTTCTTGGGCACCAACATTTGATTTCTTCCTGAACTACGGGTCCCTATGAGACTTGTAACCAGGGAGCAGTGGGCAGCTGAAGCCTGACTTGGGCTCACCCCGAGTTTGTCTCCAAGGCCCCCCACTCTACCTTTCTCTGACTTCACAGTGAGCTAAACAGCCCTGCCTTGGCTCAGCTCTTTCCTGTAACATTTCTAAAGAGCCAAAGCCCTATGGAGCCCCACCTAGGCTCTCCCCTCTGCTGCTTCTACCCTCATTCCTTCCTTTGTCCCCCTGACCGCGGCATTAGTAAATGTACTCTCACACCCATCTGCACTGCTGATGTGAGATTTTTCCTACACAAAGTCAAGAACCCACTCACTACAGGCCATCCTGAGGCAGATCTGCTTTGGGTTGGTCCTTACTGTAATAATCCTGTCAATGTGCTCCCACTCCGACGTGCCCAGTTAGAGGATGCTTTTGTTCCAATTAGTTATCCCACTGGCTGGGCCCCCACGGCACATGTTCTCTCCTCATCAGCATATGGCACACTCATGCCGATTCATCCCAAACTGGGGCCACCCTCCGGGATGGTTTTATAGAGATGGAGCCACGTTTTACTCCAGCTTCTGTCAGCTGTACGAGGTTGTTCAGCACGTGCCCTCCTGCTGCGAGCTGGAAACATGTAGGACCACCGCAGTGCATGCTGGCCTGAGGTGGCTTCAGAGGCAGGCGATCACCTAAGGTACAGAACACTCAGGGTGCCTAACAGCTGTGTGGGTGCCATGGCCACCAGCACCACCCAGCAATGCCCCCTTGTGTCTCCCCTGCCTTCCTACACAGACAGACAGACACCGATGAAGCCCACAGGTGATGACGACGATGTCCTTTCCTATTTTGTTAATTAAAATGCACGTGAAAGGCCCACCAGAGCCTCTAGTGTGCAGACAGCGGTGGTGCTTTGGTGAAACGGTAGAAGCTTCCTGCTAGGACTTCTCTTGTCTCGTTGAGAAAACAGGCCAAGTCTGATGGGTTCACCCAAACCACAAACAAGGACCTTATCTGGAGGGCCCTGTGATGGAAGTGGGTGACACACAGTCTACACAGCAGCTGTCCCTCCAGCCCTGCAGGGCAGTGGCTTTGAGGACCAGCCCCTTCCTGCCAAGGGGCACTGTCCCTTCTCAGGTGAGTCACAGGCACTGCTGAGTCTGGGATCACACAGCATATGCACCCCCCGGCCCCCCCCACCCTGAGCTGTGTCTGGAATTTACATTCTTTTACTCTGCAGCATCACCTCCCAGATGGTCTCCCCAACAATAGAGGGAAATGAAAATTACTCCCTTTATGTCTGTCAGAGACGGGAACTGAGCAGCCTTCAGGATGCATAATTCATGGTGGATGAGGGCTGCCTCATGGGTATGCTGGCAGAGGGGTCCATGAGTGGGGACCCTCCACTCTTTGTGGGATTCTGGGGCGCGGCTGAAATAGGAATTTTCAGAAGCCCCTATGGGAGGATGAGGTGGCAGAAGATTTCACTGGTGCAGAGCTGCATCTCTCAGGTTCCAATGTCCCATTTCCCCCCGAGCCAGTTCAGGAAGAGGGGCCGCCGGGAGTTCTGTAGAGCCAGAAAGAGGGCCAGTGTCGAGGTTCCATCCCATGTTGCAGCCAGGAGTGGTTCAAATTCAGGCCAGGTTCCGGTCTATTAGCCCACCAAGGCCGTGCGCCATGTGGGCATGGGAGCCAAGAGAGCTCACTTCTTTGTTTAGAAGTTGAAACATTCAGGTTTTGTGTGCTTGCAGTGACCATGCCCATTCTGGCCAATTACCTGTTCCCAGGTCTGATTGATGAGCAATTGGCCTCCCCCATCACTCAGACCTTACTGGGTATGCGTCAAACCTGCCTTTGTCTAGTCCCTTCCCCCATGGATCAGCGGGGAATAGACCTGGAGAGTGTTAAATGCAGCGTTTTGGCAAAGCTGGGTAAGTGGCAAGCCTCTACTATCTGGTCTCCTCTTTCACTCCTTTTCTGTTAAACAA